GAAATCGAAGAGGCGTTTGCTTTCTCAAAAGTTGGGCTACTCAAAGACCACGAAGGCCGATCTCAGAAATCGAAGAGGCGCTCGCTTTCTCAAAAGCTGGGCTCCCCAGAGACCACGAGGGCCGATATCAGAAATCGAAGAGGCACCTACTTTTCCAGCCTTGTCAGCACCCGTCACACGCATACTCAGCTTTGCGGAAATTATGGGCATTCTGTCGAAGACTTCTGGGGAAGTAGAAAACACATGAATCTTACTGTTCAATCACCCACTTCCCACATGCAACAATAGCTCATGGGTACCACAGATAACTTTGCCAAAGTTCTCTGCCAAAGTTGAGCACGTGAAGCTTGCAGCTCCCACTACATCGCTCTGACCAAGAAGGGTAAAAGAATAGCAAAGAAACAGCACTAACAAAGTTTAGACCCATAAATTTTGAAGGTCTAGCTACCATATTATTACCCACAAGGGTAAAGGAACAGTACCACTGCTGGATAATTGGAAAGTCCCTGTGTGTCAACCTCTGTGCTTCGTGGCAAGGTAGACTAGCAAACATGCCCAACCTTTACTCACATTCGAGAAAACACTCCCAATAAGATTGCTTGTTTCAAAATCGAAGAGGCACCGTCCTCCGAATCTCGAGAGCCAGACTCCCAACATGACTACTTTCTCAAAAGCCGAAGAGAGGGTAAAGGAACAGTACCATTGCTGGATAATTGGAAAGTTCCTGTGTGTCAACCTCTGTGCTTCGTGGCAAGGTAGACTAGCAAACATGCCCAACCTTTACTCACATTCGAGAAAACACTCCCAACAAGATTGCTTGCTCCAAAATCGAAGAGGCACCGCCCTTCGAATCTCGAGAGCCACTCCCAACGTGATTACTTTCTCCCCCAGCATGATTGCTTTCTCAAAGATCGATGAGGCATCGTTCTCCGAATCAATCGAAGAGGTGCTCGCTTTCTCAAAAGCTGGGCTGCTCAGAGACCACGAGGGCCGATCTCAGAAATCGAAGAGGCACCTACTTTTCTAGCCTTGTCAGCACCTGTCACACGCACACTCAGCTTTGCAGAAATTATGGGCATTCTGTCGAAGACTTCTGGTGAAGTAGAAAGCACATGAATCTTACTGTTCAATCACCCACTTCCCACACGCAACAATAGCTCATGGGTACCACAGATAACTTTGCCAAAGTTCTCTGCCAAAGTTGAGCACGTGAAGCTTGCAGCTCCCACTACATCGCTCTGACCAAGAAAGGTAAAAGAATAGCAAAGAAACAGCACTAACAAAGTTTAGACACATAAATTTTGAAGGTCTAGCTACCATATTATTACCCACAAGGGTAAAGGAACAGTACCACTGCTGAATAATTGGAAAGTCCCTATGTGTCAACCTCTGTGCTTCGTGGCAAGGTAGACTAGCAAACATGCCCAACCTTTACTCACTTTCGAGAAAACACTCCCAACAAGATTGCTTGCTCCAAAATCGAAGAGGCACCGTCCTCCGAATCTCGAGAGCCAGACTCCCAACATGACTACTTTCTCAAAAGCGAAGAGAGGGTAAAGGAACAGTACCATTGCTGGATAATTGGAAAGTCCCTGTGTGTCAACCTTTGTGCTTCGTGGCAAGGTAGACTAGCAAACATGCCCAACCTTTACTCACATTCGAGACAACACTCCCAACAGGATTGCTTGCTCCAAAATCGAAGAGGCACCGCCCTCCGAATCTCGAGAGCCAGACTCCCAACATGATTACTTCCTCAAAAATCGAAGAGACACTGCTCTACGAATCTCGAGAGCCAGACCCCCAGCATGATTGCTTTCTCAAAAATCGAAGAGGCATCGTTCTCCGAATCTCGAGAGCCAGATACCACAGACCACTTTTTCAAAGTGCTCTGACAGAGTTAAAACATGTGAAACTGGCAGCTCCCACTACCGTGCTATGACCAAGCAGGGTAAAGGAATAGCATTACTACTTGTTGTTAGGGAGACTCCTATATATGTCGACCTCCATCCCCAACGGACAGGCAGACCTGCAAAAAATGCTCAACCCTTCATCATATCTGAGAGGGCACTCCCAACGAAGCCTTTCGAAATATTCAGCTTTCTTTCCCCCCGATAATACCTCTGCAAACAAGCTATACTAGAGCAAGAATATCTCATATCATCAGGGTTAAAAAGCAAGAGTATCCCATATCATGCTTTTTCCCTGTCTTTTCCTTTGGCCTTGTTTTTACCTGCAAGACAAGGAGAAAGAGAGCAATCAGTCAGCACTTGGAATCAAGCTTCCAGCCAGGAACTGACTGCCTGGAACCCTTTACCTGATTACTTACCTGGCATTGCTCTCGAGTACTCATCTTCAACATCTTATGTTTCCAGGGAAGATTCCGCATCTGCTTGAGGAACAGATAGGGCAAGTGCGAAGGATACAAGGAAGCATGTGGAGACAAGCGTAACAGCACACGTGCCGATACATCCATTACTCTGTCAAAAGCAAAAGTATCCCATATCAGCAGGGTGGAACGTACTCTAGATTTGATGGACTTGTTTTGACCCTCAAATTCTTCAGTCGGCCTTATACTCTGGAGGAAACCAGAAAACCCTCCAGCTCAGTTTAAGAATAAGCCTGTGGAAAGTTACTTCTTCAAAAGCAAAAGTATCTCATATCATCTCTTCTCATTTTTCTTCTCTTTATCCTTCATGCTGCTGCAAGATGGGGAGAAGGTGAACAATCAGTCGGAGCTCTGATTGCTTACCTTGTCTGTCACCTCTTTCAGCAGACCCCCTAGCTCGGCGACTTGGGGGACTCCTACTACATGGTTTGTATCGCGCTTGACCAAGCCTGAGACTACAAGTAAGCTTCAAGTGAAATTGATACATTACCTTGTGCATCTCCACCAGTTAAAGATACCACCCCTGGATGGAGGAAGAGTACTTCCAGAGAAGATGCCACATCTACCTATGAGACAGATAAGGCAAGTCAAGACGACACCACACTCCGATACTTAGAAGTTTCGTGATTACGAGATCATTTCTCCCACAATATTTCCTAATGTCATTTGTACTAAATCATTCACTTGTACTCACTAAAGGAGAGCTTGAACCTATGTACTTGTGTAAACCCTTCACAATTAATGAGAACTCTTTTATTCCGTGGACGTAGCCAATCTGGGTGAACCACGTACATCTTGTGTTTGCTTTCCTATCTCTATCCATTTATATACTTATCCACACTAATGACCGGAGCAATCTAGCGAAGATCACAAAAAGCGACCGTTTTCGCTACCTAGGATCTATCTTGCAAGAGAACGGAGAATTAGATGGAGATCTCAACCATAGAATACGAGCTGGATGGATGAAGTGTAAGAGTGCATCCGGCGTGTTGTGTGACCGTCGTAGGCCACTGAAGCTCAAGGGAAAATTTTATAGGACGGCAATAAGGCCAGCGATGTTGTATGGCACAGAATGTTGGGCCATGAAGCATCAACACGTACACAAAATGGGTGTAGCGGAGATGAGGATGCTTCGTGGGATGTGTGGGCACACGAGAAAGGATAAGATTGGGAATGAGGATATCCGAGGTAAAGTAGGAGTAGCCGAAATTGTAGGAAAGATGAGAGAAAATCGGCTCCGATGATTTGGACATGTGCAAAGAAGGCCGACTGACGCTCCGGTTCGAAGATGTGACTACGGGACAGAGGTTCAGGGCCAAAGGGGTAGAGGAAGACCTAGGAAAACTTTGGAAGAGACTCTAAGAAAAGACTTAAGAGTACTTGGATCTAACGGAGGACATGACACAAAACCGAGCGCAATGACGTTCTAGGATTCATATAGCCGACCCCACTTAGTGGGAAAAGGTTTTGTTGTTGTTGTTGTTGTGAGCTTTTTTGAGGATATTTGCTAGAAGCATGTTTTCAGAGAAGTCAATTTCCTAGCGGATGCAGTCACAAGTGTTGGTCTCTCAGTTTATGGCTTCCATGTTTGGGATAAATCTATTCATTTGGCTGCTCGTCCAGCTCATCTTTTTTATTGTACGCAAACGGGTTGCCCTAGGAGCTTTTCTCTTTAATTTAATCATTTCTTTTTCTAGCAAAAAAAATAAAAATTAAAGAAAATATACAAATACTGCTATGCAAAGAAATACTAAAGTGACTATCATTTAATTGACGATCATATGGTTTCAGATAATTGTTAAAAGATAAATTGTTCGAATCGTTCAAAAAAAGTTACAGGGTGGACTCAAAATAGGTGTCAAAATATGTGTAAAAAATGAGCGTCCCCGACACATATATAATATATATGGGTGTCCAACTCCAGACAAGGAGTTGCAGAGGTGTTCCAGGTTTGCAGGTTTGGAAGTAGAGTAGTCATGCCCAGCTCCAGGCAAGGAGTAAGGAGCTGATGGAAAGTCTTCCCGTTTCCGACCAAGATTGGAAGAGGTAGATATTCGAGGCCTCTAGAGCGTGAGATTTTCTGCAGGGGAGGACTTCCCCTCTAATCCTACGATCTTCAGTCCTAGTACTTCTTTCCTTTATAGCACAAAGACTTGGGCCTTTATACTCTTTTTTAAAGGGATTCGTTAGTGGCTTTCCAAGATCTAACCGTCAAATGAGGATAGTATGGTTCCAAGTACGTGTTGGTATCACTTATAAAATTTAGGTTTTTTAGTCAAAATGGTTTCTGAGATTTGCATAACACATAACTTTGGTCCCTAAAATTTACTTACCACATAATTTTGGTCCCTGAGATTTGCATAACACATACCTTTGGTTCTTGAGATTGTTCATCATCCATCATTTTGGTTATTCTCTTAAAAAGCTTAGGGACCACTTAACGGAGTTTTTTAATGGAATGACCAAAATAATATATAGTACACAATTTTAGTGACCATTTTTATTGATTTTAAATCTCAAAAACTAAATTTATGTCTTATGAAAATCTCATTGATCATTTTGACTAAAAGACCTAAAATTTAAGAAAGAAAACAGAGATTTTCTTATGAATAAAGGAGTATTGACAAGTGTCATTTGCATGGCCTTAGACTAATATTTCAAAATCCATCTTTTCCAACACACTCTCTTCCTTCATCACCCTCCCTCTCTTCCCCTCCCTCCAAACCAATCTCTGTCTCTATCTTCATACAGACCTTCTCTTCAAAACCCGTTTGCCCATCTCTCTCCCTCTCATCTTTTGTCTCTGATACCACGCCAACACCATGGCAGTAGCTGAGCTATCAACACCTTCATATACCAAGACCCACCTTTTGTTGGGTTTTAAAGAAACTTCACTACTTTGGAGATGTTTATCTCCAAAGAAGAATGTAACGCAGCGGAAATTGATAGGCAAGAGAAAATGAACACTCAAGGTATAACACACAAAAACCTTTTATTCTCACACAAACTAATACAAGAGGAATCACTCAAAACACTCTTAGAAGCTATGGATGCTTCTTCTACTTATTCTCTTTTCTTTTAGGTAGAGAGCCTTCTTGTCTCTTGTACTTCTTCTTTTTTCTCTTTTCTTCACTTCTCATTCTTAAACATAACAACATACTCTATTTATAGGCAAGTATAACCAACCATACCAAGTGTGAATACCAAGTGTGAAATCATCCTAGCCATTATTCATGACTCTACTAAAGTAGTCCACCACCATGGACTTTGCTTATGGACACAATGAACACATGTCATTCTTATGCTAGAATTGTCTAGCATTTTCAATGCATGCACCGGCCACTTTTCTAGAAGCAAGATTACCATTCAACATCCCCCCTTAATTTTGTCTTGTGACGCCGATTGAGTTTCTCAGTCTGATAAAGTCTTCTTGTTTGAGTGGCTTGGTGAATATGTCTGCAACTTGGTCTTGAGACTTCACGTACTCAACTTGCACATCCTTTCTTGTAATGCTCTCTTATGTAGTGATAGCGGGTATCTATGTGCTTGTTCCTGTCATGGAATACTGGATTCTTTGCTAGAGCTATTGCAGACTTATTGTCGACATAAATCTCCGTTGGTTCTTTTTGTGGCATGCTTAATTCTTTCAGCAAGTTTTTCAGCCAGATTGCATGACAAACACATGCGGTAGCAGCTACGAATTCAGCTTCACAGGTAGATAGTGTGACAATCGGTTGCTTCTTCGACATCCATGTGAATGCCGTGTCTCCCATGAAGAACACAAATCCAGTAGTGCTTTTTCTATCGTCGGAATCTCCTACCCAATCACTGTCGCTGTATCCAACAAGTTTGTAGCTATCAGAACTTGAATAGAACATGCCAAAGTTAACAGTACCTTTAAGGTATCGAAGAATTCTTTTGGCGGTCTTCAAGTGTGTAGTTGTGGGATTCTCCATATAGCGACTGATTAATCCGACGACATACAGAATGTCCTGTCTTGTGCATGTCAAGTAGTGCAAGCTTCCCACTAGACTTTTGAAAAATGTTGGATCTACGCTTTCTCCTTGGTCATGCTTGGTTAGTTTCACTCCACATTCCACTGGCGTGCTTATGGGCTTGCAGTCGTCCATTTTGAACTTTTTCAGTATCTCCTTTGTGTAGCTTTCTTGGGAAATGAAAATGCCTTCTTCATTTTGCTTGACTTCAATGCCTAGGTAGTATGCCATCAGCCCGATGTCCGTCATCTCGAATTCTTTGGTCATCACTCTTTTGAACTCTTCAAACATGCTTGGATTACTTCCGGTAAAGATTAGATCATCCACATATAAGCACACAATCAGAATATCTTCATCTTTGATTTTGACGTAAAGATATTCTAATTGTGTTCTTCATGGGAGACACGGCATTCACATGGATGTCGAAGAAGCAACCGATTGTCACACTATCTACCTGTGAAGCTGAATTCGTAGCTGCTACCGCATGTGTTTGTCATGCAATCTGGCTAAGAAACTTGCTGAAAGAATTAAGCATGCCACAAGAAGAACCAACGGAGATTTATGTCGACAATAAGTCTGCAATAGCTCTAGCAAAGAATCCAGTATTCCATGACAGGAGCAAGCACATAGATACCCGCTATCACTACATAAGAGAGTGCATTACAAGAAAGGATGTGCAAGTTGAGTACGTGAAGTCTCAAGACCAAGTTGCAGACATATTCACCAAGCCACTCAAACAAGAAGACTTTATCAGACTGAGAAACTCAATCAGCGTCACAAGACAAGATTAAGGGGGGATGTTGAATGGTAATCTTGCTTCTAGAAAAGTGGTCGGTGCATGCATTGAAAATGCTGGACAATTCTAGCATAAGAATGGCATGTGTTCATTGTGTCCATAAGCAAAGTCCATGGTGGTGGGCTACTTTAGTAGAGTCATGAATAATGGCTAGGATGATTTCACACTTGGTATGGTTGGTTATACTTGCCTATAAATAGAGTATGTTTAAGAATGAGAAGTGAAGAAAAGAGAAAGAAGAAGTAAGAGAGACAAGAAGGCTCTCTACCTAAAAGAAAAGAGAATAAGTAGAAGAAGCATCCATAGCTTCTAAGAGTGTTTTGAGTGATTCCTCTTGTATTAGTTTGTGTGAGAATAAAAGGTTTTTGTGTGTTATACTTGAGTGTTCCTTTTCTCTTGCTTTTAATTTCCGCTGCGTTACATTCTTCTTTGGAGATAAACATCTCCAAAGTAGTGAAGTCTTTTTAAAACCCAAATATTCATAGGAAACATCCTATTCTTTGAAATTTTCACCTTGACTATTAATCTTCCTTGGTCATCTCTAAGAAAAAGGCTATAATTTTTCATGTGAATATCATAACCCTTTTCTAAGAGTTGACCCAAACTCAAAATATTGCTTTTCATATTGGGCACGTAGTAGACATTTGAAATTAATTTGTGACTGCCATTTTTCAAGGGAATTTGGATGTTACCTTTTCCTTTTACAGGTATTTTGGATTCGACTCCAAAAGAAACATTGCCACTCACCGATTCATTTAGCTCTACGAACATGCTTCTTCTTCCGCACATGTGGTTGCTGGCGCTGGTGTCAAGATACCATGTATAGTCTTGGTCTCCATCATTATTCTTGCATGCTAGTAGCACAACGCCATTCTCTTCTTTCACATAATTGACCTTCTCATCAGGTCTGTTGCTTGGAGCTCTACATTCCCAAGCATAATGCCCAAACTTTTGACAATTGTAACATTGAACTTGAGATTTTTCATACCTCAAGTTTGAGCGTCCTCTTTCACCACCTTTTGTTGATCTTTCTCCTCTTTCGTAGTTGCTATGGTTGTTGAAGTTCCAACCACGTCCATGTCCACGCCCACGTCCGCAACCTCGGTCACGACTTCTTTCGTATTGGCTTCTCTCGTTGTCGAAGCTTTCTTCTTTCTTCTTTGGCTGAACATGCGTCTTGAGGAGCTGCTCATCATTCCCTTGCCTCTTTTTATGTTTCTCTTCATATGCTTGTAGCGAGCCCATTAAATGCTCTATACTGATTTCTTCCCAAGTCTTTTGTTTCTTCAATCGTTACAACAATGTGCTCGAATTTTGGGTCCAACGAGCGTAGTATTTTCTCCATAATTCTAACATCTTCTAACTTTTCACCGTTTCTTTTTAATTGATTAGAAACAACTAAGACTCTTGAGAAATAATCGGAGATTGATTCAGACCCTTTCATTTGTAGAGATTCGAACTCACCTCTTAATACTTGAAGACGAACCTTTTTCACTTGTTCGGCTCCTTTGTAAGAGGTTTGAAGCTTCTCCCATGCTTGCTTGGCGGAGGTTGCACTCGAGACCTTCTCAAAGCCATTGTCATCTAACGCTTGGTAGATGAGGTAGAGAGCCTTCTTGTCTCTCTTTCTTGAATCTTTCAAACTCTCCTTCTGGGCTTGGATTAGAGTATCTTCATCTTCTGGCTCGATGTAGCCTTTCTCCACAACTTCCCATACATCATGTGCTCCCAAAAGGGTCTTCATTTTGATACTCCAATTATCGAAGTTGTTGTTGATCACTGGAACTTGGAAGGCAGCGATAGCATTGTTCGCCATGGCTCTGATACCACTTTGTTGGGTTTTAAAGAAACTTCACTACTTTGGAGATATTTATCTCCAAAGAAGAATGTAACGCAGCGGAAATTGATAGGCAAGAGAAAAGGAACACTCAAGGTATAACACACAAAAACCTTTTATTCTCACACAAACTAATACAAGAGGAATCACTCAAAACACTCTTAGAAGCTATGGATGCTTCTTCTACTTATTCTCTTTTCTTTTAGGTAGAGAGCCTTATTGTCTCTTACTTCTTCTTCTTTCTCTTTTCTTCACTTCTCATTCTTAAACATAACAACATACTCTATTTATAGGCAAGTATAACCAACCATACCAAGTGTGAAATCATCCTAGCCATTATTCATGACTCTACTAAAGTAGCCCACCACCATGAACTTTGCTTATGGACACAATGAACACATGCCATTCTTATGCTAGAATTGTCTAGCATTTTCAATGCATGCACCGGCCACTTTTCTAGAAGCAAGATTACCATTCAACACCTTTTTCAATCATCCCAACTCTCATCCTTATCGACCCATCTCCACTCTCACCGCCGTGTCGCTTTTCGGCCGCTCCCTTACACTCAGAATGCCAGAATCTGTTGCACCCAAGTAAGCTTTAATATCTTTACATATCTCCACCATTTCTTTTTTTTTTTTTTTTTTTTTTTTTTTTTTGTAGAGGTCGCACTTGGTGCGATGGCAAGTGCCTTCGCCCATGAGCGGTAGGTCTCGGGTTCGAGACTTGGGAGCAGCCTCTCCATAAATGGGGGTAAGGCTAGCCGACATTCACCTCTCCCAGACCTTGCGTAAAGCGGGAGCCTTGTGCACTGGGTACGACCTTTTTGTTTTGTTTTGTGGTAGTAGTAATTTTTTTGTTCCTGATGTCAGTCAAGTTCAAGCTCCAGCGCAAACCGAAGACCCGAAGAACAAGCCTGAGTGCTTCGGCGTGTTCTGCCTCACCTATAATCTCAAAGCTGTAACCTTTCTTCCTTTTGTTAGGTTTATGTTGATTTCTGTGAATTTTGGTATAGATTTGTGGGGTTTTCACCTTATCTTAGTAGTAAAAACTCTGGAGCTTCAGCTTGTTATATAAGTGCACATATGGTGTCTGTCAATTTGTCTAGTCGAGCTGTTCTAGTATATTTAGACTTTCATTACCAAAAGTAGAATTTTCTCTATTTTGTTTGGTAGTTACTGCATAAGACTCATTTGTTATATACTGTAATCTATGTTTTACAATTTTGTTGCATAAATAGTGAATCAGACAAAAACCGTCGATTTTTTTTTTTTTTTTTTTTCTTCTGTTTGTTGCTAGTTAATGACTTTCTGCTGAAGATACATGCAGTTTTAAAGTATCCAAACTGGGCTTGTAATGTGTGTTTGTGTGTGTCTGAGAGAGAGAGAGAGCATATCTGATTATTGATTTGCAGTTGCTTTTCCTTTGCAATGAATTAAGTAGTGTATCTAATAAGGTCCAAAATTCACAGGAAGAAGAGACAAAATCATGGAAGAAATTAATTAATATTGCAGTCTCAGGTGCAACTGGGATGATATCTAATCATCTGCTCCTTCAAGTAAATCTTTCTTGCATCCTAAACCTCTCGCACTTTGTCCTTTTCACTAATGGTGACTTTGCTTTTTGGAACTTATTGACTAGCAATTACTTATTTAAGTTGCAGTTAATCCTTTCAAAACATTATATTTCTATACCTGTAATTAGGAGTTCTATTCCCATTGGGTCCTGCAACCATCCAGTCCCTCCCTACATGTTATCTTAGTCTTAGACTACGGTCTTTCCGACAACCTGCAACAATCTAAACCATATCAGGTTAAACTGGAAAATAGAGCTTGTAAAGACATGTAGTACTCTCAACTGACAAGAAACTGGTATAATCTGAAAGATGTCTCAAAATAATCTGAAAGATTCAAGAATACTCATGTGGTGGAATTAATTTTCTCAGTTCAAATTGAGACAATTGTGATGTTGCAGGTTGGTAACGGACAAAAGGGAAAAGGAGGAGAGGCCGATGGGCACTTCGACGACTCAATGCACAATAAAGAGAAAGATCGGTTGTGTTCAATTCCAATCAAATTTTGTTAAAATTGAGATTTTCTTAAAGTTCCTTGCTTTATGTGTAACTTTTTGACAGAACTTGAGCGAAGATTGATATGGAAGCAAATTTTCGCGTATCTTCCTTTGACAAAAATGCACCTGTAAAATAATAACACCTAAGATTAAGGCCAAAAATCTCACGCGCCCACGATGAATGAGGGGGATTTTGGCCGAAGAATCTCCGATGCCAAAGTTAGAATTCTGAAATGAATGTATTTAGGAGTTTGTGGGTAGCAAATGACTTAACATTTTAGTGGGATGCGAGGGGTATTTATAGGAGGGTGTCCAGCCCTTGGGGTGGAGAGTGGCCGGCCATATATGGTGGTAATTGAAGAACAAGTGAAATAATATCTTACAATTAACATGACAATTATTCCTAAAGGATGAAGAGTTGATTGCTGCTTATAATCAAGTAATCCACTTCCTGAAGATCGTTAATAAGCTTGAACCCCAAGTGTTGAAAATCCAAGGTGTGTTGAAGATCAACGAAAGTCTGAAGAAGGAAGTGGATGAGTTGCAGCGCATCTGTGTTGGTCTACTCGGGGCTTTGCTTGTTTAGGGTCAGGCCAATTTTAGTCTAAGTTTATCTCTCGTGCCTTGATCACAAAAATACCAAGCATTTTAGAGACGTCCACTCATGTATGTTCGTCAATGCATATGCATTAGCGCACCACCGAGCATTCGAATATGGTATTCAGTTTTGGGGGCTGCATGCATTAAACTAGTTTGTGTGGTTTTGGTTATTGCTGTCGCTAAGCATGAGTGGTTTTCTGTAGCTTCTGAGATTTATATTGTAAGCAGAATTCATATAGCAGCTTTCATATACGGCACATGGTAGTCGGCAGTACTGCATTTAGAAAGAGAAAGTTATATTTTCTTCACTGTTTATTCGAAACTTATATGTTGCATGTTCTGGGTTTTAAAGTGAGTCGGCATTGAGTTTAAAAAAATCAATTTTGTGTCCATGTGTTTTCAAAGAGAATATTTTAGTTTTTAATCACTGATTTTTCCTCGTGTTTCAATTAGAAATTAATTATGAAAATATGCCTTGTGATTTTTGTAATTGGTTGATTTTAAAAAATTATAACCATTTCATACAATTTGCATGATCGCATTAGTATCTTGCAAAGTTCGAGGAGACGGTGATTGACGACTGCGTTAGTGTCGTGTCATTTCCACTTGAAGGCTGAAGAGAGATCGGGTAGCAAAGCGCAATGAAAAAAATTGCCGACTAGTATGTGGGTCTAGTTGATGAGTTTTGTAAGTCTTTCTATACTCATTTCTCTTAGTGTTTGTTCTGGCTTAAGAGTTTGGAGATTTTCTCAGTGGTTGGTTTTACCTCGTTAAATCCTACATCATGTGTACACATGTTATTTGTCTTTTTAATTGCAAATGTGTAGGATAAACTTCCACTTATTTTCTTGTAGTGAACTCTATTTTAGACATTCATCAACATATAGAGTTTACGACAGAGGACTTTGCAACTATATTACAGTGCATTGTTTAATTTGTAAAGCTCTAATTTATCCTAATTATAAAATATAATCTGTGCAAGACATTTAAAAAATGGAAGTGTCTTTCAACAGTTTGGATGTCATGTATGGCCATATCCTTTATTTCCACCGTCCTTATGGGGAGATATTGTCTATATCTCACAAACCCATAACATGGCAATCGTCTATAAGAAAAGTAAAGTATGTTTTGAAATCGTGGCAAATATTGATTGAGTAATGACGCCTTTAAAAGTAAAATTTGGTTATCTGAAAGAATCTCCCATTAAATAAAGTAACGAATAATTAACAAAAGTAACAGCACACCAAGTTGGACCTTTCCCAACGTTGAAATGAAATATGAAAGTACACCAAGTTGCTATTATTCTTTTTTTTTTTTAACAAACGATATTATTTACACTGTTACATTAAGAAGAAGGAGTGGGCTAAGTCTCACAATGAGCTAGCAATAATATGGTTCAAATTCACATTTGGCGAGAATCAAATTTAAGACCTCTCACTTATAAGTGAAGAGAAATATTATTAGACTGTAATATTAAATGACATTATTCATCCACTTTTAAATAATGAATAATCAAGAAAAAAATTGCACGGGCTCCCCCTCTCGTTACTGGAATTGGATCCCTTCCTGAGGTTGGGCTCAGATCCTCCTGACCAACACACAAAGGCCGTTGGATTTTAATCAAACAGCTACAATTATTATAACGTTTATAAGATCTTATATTTGTAGCCGTTGGATTTTGATCCAACAGCTACAATTATTATAACGTTTAGAAGATCCTATATTTGTAACTGTTGGATCAAAATCTAACGATCCTTATATGTTGGTCAAAAGGCTCCTAAGCTTATGTGTTGGCCAGAAAGCTCCTGAGACTCAAGAGAGGATCCAATTCCCTCGTCACTTACCACTAGTGGCCATCACTTCCTTGAGCAAAAGACATCTTTCCAATTGCTTGACCAAAACAAGCATTGACTTGGCTGTCTGTCCATCCATAACAGGTCCACATCTCAACCCAAATATAATAGGGGAAAATGAGAGGAAATTTCGGAGAATAGAGAAAAGGAGAAGGGAAAAGGAGAAAAGGAAGGTGGAAAATGAGAGGAAATTTCGGAGAATAGAGAAAAGGAGAAGGGAAAAGAAGAAAAGCAATAAAGAAGGGATAAGGGGAAGGAAGCTTAGGAGAGTAGAGGAAAAGAGGGAAAAGCATAAAAACAAAAAATAAAAAAGGAAAGTCATCTTTATCATTATGTCTACTCACTGTTCTAAAAATCCCCGCCTAGCGCCGCCTAGGCGCTAGGCCCCAGCCCACCGCCCCGATTAATGCCTAGGCCCCAGCCCACCGCCTAGACCACCTAGGCACCCGCCTAGCCCGCCTAAGCACCCGCCTAGACCAGCCTAGGTTGCAACTCACTTAGACAGAAAATACATAACTTTCATTTTGCATTTTGTTTTTTTCCAATAAATTGTAAGAGATTTGTTGCATACTTGAATGAACAAACATTATATCCTTATTTCACATGTTTTTATTATGTTCCAATACTTCATGATATATATGCATTCTATTTTGTAGTTTATGATGAAATTATATATATTTCAAGTAGAAGCAGACACTTATTTACCTTAAATATGATAGATTTACTTAAATCCGCCTAGTTCGCCTAGGCTCCCGCCTTGCCGCCTAGGCGCTAGGCCCCAGCCCGCCGCCCGACTAGCGCCTAGCGATTTTTAGAACCTTGTGTCTACTAACGAGCAAAATGTTTCCAACTTCCCTTGTTTCTTACATTGTAAATTGTATTTCGTATAATGAGAAATCAGTATTCTTATTTCGAGAACGTAGATATAACTTACCGAATTTCGTAATTATAAAATAAATCTATAACTAAATAACAATTCGATCAACCATCTTAAGTTCAACCATATGTACCTAGATTCAGGTTTTTCTAAACTTTCCTTATGAAATTACCTGAACATTACAAGTGCCACATTATTATGCGGTTCTATCAAATTTTAATTTTTGTCTCATTACCTCATCATCTTTAGGACATTCAATATTGCAGTTGAATATATAAACCTTCCCGATGGTGATATTGGAAACACTAGTTGGTAATGGTATGTTGATTGGTAGAAATGGTTCCAACAATTCAAGAACCAGAAATGAGTATGGAGCAACGATCAAAGTGTGTAGTATTTTATCACAAAACATTTTTGTGCAACTAGAAGTGCATTTTATCACAAAAAGGTGAGCAACGATCAATATAATTGTAATTTAGAAAATCACAATATAAAACAAGAAGTAATATTTTCTTTTTCTTTTCATCTCTACCACTAGTGGCCGACCATGACTTAAAGAAACACTTTTTGGGTCAATGCATGGGAACGAACGACCCATTTTATAATTGCTTGTTAATTTTCCTGGAAGTAGATGAGAATGACCTAAGTAAATATCTCCCTTGCACAGAGACATTTGCATTGCACTTAACAAAGACCAGTTTTTTTTGGTTGTCCGCCGATCCACATCAATGGCTCTTGTGAGAACAACTCAAGGAGCTTCCTCTGATTCCAACACTCGTCGGGGTTATCATTACGACGTGTTCTTGAGCTTTAGAGGTGAAGACACTCGCAAGACGTTTACCGACCACCTCTACACAGCTTTGATAAGCGCAGGATATCGCACATTTCGAGACGACGATGAACTCAAGACGGGAGAAGATATCAAATCAGGACTGAAGCAAGCAATCCAAATGTCCCGAACTTCTGTCATTGTGTTTTCGAAAGATTACGCGTCATCCAGATGGTGCCTTAACGAGCTTGTCGAGATCGTTGACCACAAGAGGGCCAGCTCGGACCATGTGGTTATACCGGTCTTCTACGATGTTGATCCGTCCCATGTGAGGAAGCAGACGGGAAGCATTGCCGAGGCATTTGCTGGACACCGGAAAACTGAACCCCCCGACATGATGGAGAGATGGAGGAAGGCACTTGCAGAGGTTGCAGATCTAGCTGGGAAGGTTTTACAAAATCAAGCTTATGGGTAACTTTCATTTTCTTCTTTTGTCTTCTCTTTGTTGTTGTTGTTGTTGTTGACCTGTCCAATAAAATCACAAAATATTGATTTACTCAACACAAATGTTCATATGACTTCAGGCAAATTGCTCCAGTAATAATCCCATTTAAGGTCAATTAAGTTGTCAGGATCTGTACCATGTAGCTGCATGGAATTGATGTTAAGAATTATTGATCGAACCTTAGTATAATTTTCTCTTGTGAATTCCATGATGATCAGACTTCGTATAATTGATTGATATCGAGTGCACGACATGTTTGATTCATCTTTCATTTTATTTGCAAATTCTTAGGTACGAGTCAAAGTTTATCAAAGATATTGTTAAAGTGATTCGTGATAAGCTAAGTCGCACACACTTGAGCGTTGAATCAAAACTGGTTGGAATCCATTCTCGAGTCGACCACATCAATTTATGGTTACAAGATCCCTCACATGATGATGGTATACTTGTTGTTTATGGGCTGCCTGGAATAGGGAAGACAACCATTGCAAAATGTGTTTACAATTCAAACTACGAAAGTTTTGAAGGAAGCAGCTATGTTGAAAGTATCAGAGAAACTGCAAGTCATCCAGACGGCTTAGTTCAAATACAGAAGCAAATTCTTTATGATATTTTAAATGGGAAAAAAGAGAAAATACACAATGTTAGTGAGGGAATAATTAAGATTGGAAGAGCCATAAGCTTTAGAAGAGTTCTTCTTGTTCTTGATGATGTGGACCATATGGACCAATTAGATGCAGTACTGAGAATGAAAGATCAGTTTTATCCTGGAAGCAAAATAATCATAACAACTAGGCGTAAAAGGTTGCTAAAGGCACATGAAGGTATTACGGTGCATGAAGTTGGACCTTTGGGTTTCGATGAATCATTGGAGCTCTTAAGCCATGCTTTTGGCCAGGATCATCCCCTTGAAGGTTATGAGAAATATTCTGAAGAAGTCGTACAACACAGCGGAAGACTTCCATTAGCTCTCAAAGTTTTGGGTTCTTCTCTTTTCGGGGAACCTAAGCATGTATGGAAAAGTACATTGGAGAAGTTAGAAGTTATTCCAAATGGTGAAATCATGGGTAAATTGAGAATAAGCTACGACTCTATACAGGATGACCATGACCAGAAATTATTCCTTCATATTGCTTGTTTCTTTATTGGAAAGGATGAAGATTACATTGTCAGAATACTAGATGGATGTGATTTCAAGACAATCTGTGGCATTCAAAATCTCAGAGATAGGTGCTTGGTGACAATTGATAGGGACAAGTTGTCTATGCATGACGTGATTCGTGACATGGGACGAGAAATTGTTCGCCGAGAATCATATGAGCCTGGGAATCGTAGTAGATTGTGGCGCTCTAAGGATTCTTTCGAAGTATTGAGAGAAAAGAATGTAAGAAATGTTCATTGTATGTGTGTGTGTGTGTGTTTCTTTTTCTCTTGTGCTAATTAACCAATTGTTTTTCTGATTTCTTTTATAGGGTACGCAAGCAATTGAAGGTCTTATGCTGGGCATGCATGAACTGCTTACAAACAGTCCCATAAACTCAAATGAGAATGTCTTGGGAACCAATTCATTTGCAAGGATGCACAAACTGAAACTTCTCTGTCTTAGACATGTACGACTGGACGGATGTTATGCAGAACTTCCGACAGGGTTAAGATGGTTGTGCTGGCTCGAATTTCCTTTGGATTCAATTCCTGTTGATTTTTCTTTGGAGAAATTGGTAGTTCTTGAAATGCAATATAGCAACTTGAGACAACTCTGCAAAAGAGCAAACGTATGTTACTCTACGCTTTTCAATTTCTTTTCCTTCTTTCTTTAGGTTTTAATTCTTTAATTAATTTCATATGTTGGAATCAACTCCTAGTTATTTTTTTGTTTGTTTATTTTTATTTGTTTCCAGTTTCTTCCATCGTTGAAGATCCTTGACGTCAGCCATTCTCATGGCTTGAGTGAAACCATGGACTTCTCACCTTGCCCCAATCTAGAGGAATTGATTCTTGTGGATTGCACCAGCTTGATTTATGTTCATGAATCCATTGGAAACCTGGAGAGACTCGTGTACTTGAATATGAAGGATTGCAAGAATCTTAGGATGCTTCCGAAGAACATGTGCATGCTTAAATCACTTGAAACACTCATTTTATCTGGTTGCTCAAATCTTGATGACTTTCCAGTGGAGATGATGAAGAAGATGGAGTCTCTAAAAGTTCTTGAGACAGATGGAATTCCAATAAGTGAATTGTGGCCAGAAAGAAGTTCAACTATCTTGAGTTCTTTTCCATGCTCTTTAGTAGAGTTAAGTCTGAACGGGTGCAATCTTTCTGATGATGTTTTTCCTACGGATTTAAGTAATCTATCCTACTTGCGAAGACTACATTTAGATGAGAATCCAATTTGCAGTCTGCCAGTTTTCATCAAAGGTTTGAGAAGGCTCGATCATCTATCTTTCCGGGATTGTAATAGGCTCGAATCGCTTGTGGGGTTGCCGAAAGTACACCAAAGGACAAATATAGACGGATGCATATCATTAAGAAAAATAAAATATCTTCCCCATGTGCAAGAGTATGGAAAGTACATTGTGGGTGGCAACTACAATCTAGTTGAGTGGGAGCATGATTGCAAGTTAGAGCCTATTGATAGAGTTGATGCGGAAATGATCAAACTTTTGGGCTTGTGCAACTTGGAATCCATGCCAGCTGTTCGAATGCATCATCCATACGCAAGCAAGGATCCAAAAGAGGTCCCAGTCCAGGTGCGCCTCTCTTTCTCTCTCTCATAAGTCTTAAATATATAAAATGGGAAAGAAATGACTGAGTAATGTTGTGATGAATGTGGCAAATACATAGGGATTGTATCAATATGGTATATTCAGCACATTTTTTGCTGGGAATGAGGTTCCAGGCCGGTTCAGCTATAAAAGTACCAAGTCCTCGATATCTTTTATAGTCCCTTTACTACTTGCCAGTCACATAATTCGAGGCTTGAACATCTTTGCTACCTATGCAAAGGAGGGGAATTCTAATCAAGATTATTTTCTTGACCCTGTAATAATAACTAAAGTGAGTAACAAGAGCAAGGGTCTGAAGTGGATCTATAGCCCATCGTTCTATGGAATTCCAAGTGATGGAGAAGATATGATATGGTTGAGCCATTGGAAGATGGAGAACGAAACAATATTACAATGTGGAGATCAAGTGGTGGTTTCTGTAGCGGCCAATCTAGATAAGTTGTTTCGGATAAAGGAGTTTGGTGTCGAGCTTGTGCAAGAACACCAGAATAATATGATGATAAGTACCCAACACAACACCAAATCAGATCCTAATTACCCATTTGTCATCGGTGGAGATTTGTCCATGCGCGAGCATATACCAGGAATATACTTCCTTGGTTACACTAAAGAAGATGTTGAAAACACTAATATCTTTCCGCGGAGACTTTTAAATCGCCTCATCATGGACACTGATGAAGAAGACACAGGTATGCTATGTCGTTGTATTGCAATGAATTATACTCCATCCAAACATTTCCAAGTCCGTATGTATTCAATTCAAAAACATAAATTTTATGTTATTTGTATGTTTTTCAGACAAAGAAGAAGGGCAAGAGGATGAACTTGATTACACAATTGGAAGGACGAGGGATGCCAGTAACAATTGCGGCCTTGGAGGCTGGAAAGTGCTCCTCACAGCTGCTGGCTTATTTTTCACGCTTGCCCTAGTAGTTCGGTCCTCCATCTCCCAGAAAAAGAAGCGACAATAGTCCACAAGCCATCCATGAGTTTGTAATTTTACTTGATACAGACATCTTTGGATTCCCTCCTTGTTTTCAAGATGTTTTCTGCCTTCAAAACTTCGGGTTCAGAGCTAAGTGCTTAACCGCTTGAGATATAAAAGCCCCTAGCAATTAGATATCGAAGTTCAAATATGTTCAACATCATCAAATAATGCATAGCTCAAATGTGTTCAGCATCATTAAGAACTTCAAAAGCCACAATTTTTAAATGCAATCTGATTGCATGTGTTTTGAACTACAGGAAATATTATAGATTGGGTAAACCGTATTAGTAGATCACATTCAAATGCAATCATTCATGTATGAAGTATGAGATGCCCTAATAGTTTTACCAGAAGATGCTGGGTCAATTGTCTCAAAAAATTCTTTCAGTAATGTCTGGTATAACTCAAGAGTCATCCAAAAGTTCAGGGCCACCATCAGCTTGTGCAACAGCATCATATTGTGTCACCTATCAGAGTGAAAGAATAAAATTACTCAATTTGTGCAAATAAAAATATAACTTTTATAACACATCAATAAGGTAATTAAAGCGGACCTCACAGGCTGCACATCGAAGTGGCAAACAAATCAAAATTTTATATAAAAGATAGGACTAAAGCTAATGGCGCATGAAGAGTACTGAAACACTCACAGCCCTCGCACACTGGTTGCATGATTTATTGTTATAGCAATAAAAGGAACAAATTCATCAAGTCACATCGGGGCCATCCAAAAAGAAAATTGAAGTAAACACCACAAACAACCCAAAATTTGCTCAAATGTCATATCAAATTAGTTATAAATAGCATCCATCCCAAACAATGAATTTGTACCTCATTTGGGAGTTAAAATAGCACATGGGAAAATTGTAAATTCCATGGGAACTGTGAAATTTTCATTTTTTCAATTTAGATATAAGAGTTAATGCTTACAGTGCCAAATACAGCAACTGCTAATGTCCACATCTGCATCTGCCCAACCATTTTGCTTGGGTCTTTTATATAAGAAGCAACTTGTTCACTAATATTCTGCAATTAGAGAAAGAAAAATGAATTCCTAGGGATATCTGGCAACTCATGGCACAAGTCAGTCATAGGGAAAGGCATGTTTACAAGTTCAATTATAGAACCAGACCTGATTAAAAAGCATGCGGCTTGCTTTTAATATCAGCAGTGCCTGTGGTCACCTCCGTCTTCCTCTGCCATTTGTCTATCAATTTGCTTCTGAAAGTAGCTATTCTACAAGATACAACGTGACAGGCCTTAGTTAGACCAAGTAACCCGCATGGAAATGCATACACTAATGAAAAGTTAAACATAGTAGAATAAATTCCTAAAATTCATGCAAGAGAAGTTATCAGAGCATGAAAGAATTTATACAGAACTACCCGATAGTATACTTAAAGTAAACATACGGCAACATAGATTTTTACAAGTATAATGTACAAATGAATTTCATGGTTCTCTGCCGGCTCCTTTGGATAACAAACTAATTTAATTTAGTACCTAATAGAATTTAAAGGTCAGAAAGCTATCATCTAGTATATTTCATATTGAACAGTTGAGACAAACTTAATAACATAATAGCCTAATGTATTAACTGATAAGAACTATGTATTGAAATATAACAAAAGTTAGACACTGCAGCTCGGACTGTATTGACTATTTCTGTCGGATAGGATAAATAGCCATCGGATAGTACTAACTAAATTAGTCGGGCATTTAGTGCAGTATCGGACTAATGACCATATTATTTATATTGTATTTGGTACTATACCGGATAGAAGGAATTTAAAGTATTATTATTTTAAGATAAACTGTAGAAATCAATTTTAACCATAAAGTATTATCATGTCTCCCTCGGTGGTCCATTCTTAGCGGCCACAGCAGATGCTTTCTCTGCTTCTGACCATGATCCTTTGTCATCACAGCAACTTCTATGTGTTTTCCTCCACTCTCGACAACCTCAAGCAAAGCCCGGATTGCAAGCTTTATAGTTTCTTGCCCAGATCTCTCTGCCGCACCCCCCAAACTCCCTCCCTCTCTCTCCTTTCTTCTTCTTACCCGACTGTTTGCGAGATCCAGTTGTAGAAGAAGCCCAGAGCCTTCGACGCGCAACGGCCAGACCTCGGGGATCTTGTAGCAGAGGAAGACATGGAGGCCGTAGGCGTTGACAGTGCCGGCAAGAATGACGACGGGGAGAACGACGACGGCGAGAGGAGATGTCGTGGAAACGAAGTGCGAGAGAGAGGGAAGTGGGCCGAACTAATAATCCACTCATTTTGGAAGGGTTTATTAAGCAGGTGTATACCGACTAAATAGGCAGACTGACTAAATTAATCTGGCGGCTATTTTATACGGGAGGGCACCAAACAATCGGCTCCGTATAATTAGTCATATCCGATGCTCTATACCGTGTGTTAAACAAGGCCTAAGGTATTGAAATACAGCAATACTAGTAAGGTACTTGAATCCACTATTTACAAGAATTTTAAAACAATAAAACAACAAAATTCCAAAATTCTTTTTGCTGCTCCAAATGGATCAGCGAAGTATGGCATGAACAATAATGTTAAACAATATTACAGTTATATGTTGGATTTATCCAATATAAATCAACCTTAAGTGGTCTACTACATGTAATAGGAATGTAATATTGGAGAATAATGTTAATTGTGATTTAATCTCTTAAAGATATTAATACATGTAATAGGAATGTAATATTGGAGAATAATGTTAATTGTGATTTAATCTCTTAAAGATATTAATTCTATATAAGGTGTCTTATATTGGAAATAGGATTGATGGAATCCTTGATAATATATGATTATGATATTTTACTTGAGAGCCAAGAAAGGAGAGTTTTAGTTTTCCCTTATGGACGGAATCTAAGACTTTTTGGCTAGTATATAAACACCGGTCCCTGCTAACCCTAGACACGACAACTAAGGCTTCCCATAGAGCATTGTCATAAAGCTAGGAGTTTACAGAAGAGTTGGTGTTTTTGTTTGTCACGGCAAACATAAAGATTGGAGTTTTATCGATGACGTCTTGCTTGCATGGCTACTGCATCTTCGGTAACTACCATTGGAATCAGGTCAATCACTCTTCGTTTGTGTTTTAATTGTATAACCCAATAAGGCTTACATTATATAGATAGGCTTCAATATAACAAGAGCATATCTAGATAGTAGAATATGGTTCCTCTTTCAGAATATCCAAATTATGATCTGAGTACCTCGACAGCAACTAAGAAATCCGTGACCAATCCTCATCACCATCACCATCACTATCAATGTTCTTAGATGACTGTGACTTCTTAGATTGTCCAGATTCACCTACATAACAGGATATGTATTAGGAGAAGCAATACATGAACATATGCAGTACGAAGTTAATGAAAATGCAAACAGTACACACTAGGACAGCCAATTAGACCATGGTAGCCCAAAAGCCTTTTTTTTCTTTTTTTTTTTTTGCTTAATCAGGCTAAGGCTTATATGAGATCAAGCAGGAAAGATTTGAGCTGACATCCTTGGGCAGATTTGAAATCTGGCTTCATTTTGGCTATCCTCAGATCAGAAAACAAGACTCGTCTGATTTACCTTCTATGCCAACATTATGCTTTTGACAACAACAACAATAATTACCTACCTCTAGAGTGGTTATTTAATTGATGTTTCCTTGAAGGCTGTAATCAAAATCACAAAGTGTAATTTTTGTTGATCTACTCTGAACTTCCCACCTAATACGCGTAAACCATCACATATTTGGACTGGCTTGTTTTCAACAACCTAATCATTAAAATTCTAAATAAGAAAAACTTCCTACTCTTTCTAAAAAAGAACATTTCAGACTCCAGTTAATTTAGGCAGGACTCAGGAGATAAAGATGAGTATTTTCTTCCTTGACCAACCAAATAATGGAAGAGAAGGAATTTCTCCCCTTCTTTTTCCCCTCCTTGCAGACTACACACGCCATTCAGAAAGGAAGGAATCTCATTAGTGCATTGTCAACTCGATAGCAATCCACATATTTAATTCCTCTTGTAGCCATATCTTCTCACCCAACCCAACCCAACCCAAATTATATGCAGTTTATTTAATAATGCAATCATCTTCCAAGAATAAGGTCCAAATACGTGACCCTTCCATCCTGGATGTCTATATTTCTATCAAATAGAACAATTTGCAATAACACTATGTTTGCTAGTACTTAACATAAATACTTACACCAACAACAACAATAAAAGATTGGCACAGAAAGCATAGGTCCGTAAAACACGTAGTACTTACCACATGCAATGAATGACACCCTCAGAAGCTGATGCTTCTAGGTTATCATATACGTAACCGCAAACTTGGTTTCTTCAAGGAGAGTGAAGCGAAGTCCCTCCTCGAAAGAGGGACGAGCGGAACGGCTTCGGTATCGGTAAAGAAGAAAGAAAAGGTAAGAGAAATACCTCATCCGAAACATATAGGCAATAGTTATACTAAAACAACAATTAATTGAAACCATTGAAGGCGAAAAAAAAGCAAAAGTGGATAAAAACTTAGAATTCAACAAAGATTGTGTTCCCAATCTGAATACATATAAAGTCCAGCAAAAAATAAAATCCATGTCTCCTTTAGCACTAAGCAATCCAGATTAGGGAAACAATTAAAAAAGGTCGTACTCAGTGCACAAGGCTCCCGCTTTACGCAGGGTCTGGGAGAGGTGAATGTCAGCTAGCCTTACCCCATTTATGGAGAGGGCTGCTCCCAAGTCTCGAACCCGAGACCTACTGCCATAGCCTTGCCCCCATTTAGGGAACCAATTAAACTGTAAAATTAACAACAATTAAACAAGGGTAAATTCTATAAAACTACCTCAAATATTGAGACAACCAGAGTTTCATACTTCATCTTTAAAAAATGTTAATATTATACCTCATTTACGAATTTGTTCCAATTTCATATATTTTGTCAGTTGATTTGTCAATTATTACTTTAAATAGTGACTGGCTTAAAAAGTTTAATTAAATATTAAAAACTAAAAAACTAAAATCATTTAATATTTTTTTGTATGGGACCCACCCCTAACCCACCCACGCTGCAACAGGGAGATGGATTGTCTGCCCCGACCTTGACAGCTCTCCCTCTCTCCCTTTCTCCTTGACAGCTTCGGAGAATGGCGGATCAGCGGTGGGCAATGGAGTAGGAGAAGGAAGTGGGTCGGAGCTTGCGGGTAGATCCGAGAAAGGAGGATGCCTTTGGGGGGAGCAGCTGGGAGGGCTTGTCATTGCATCTGGGGGTGCTGGCGGTGGTATTGAGCTGGGGGGGCTGGGCCAAGTTGGTGGCGGATGAGAAGGACATCGCTGCCCCCTGCTTTTACTGCTTCCGTCTTTTTGGCAAGTGAGAAAATTTGAGGAGATAGAAAGGAAGGAGGGGGGAGGACGGAATGATGAGAGATTGAGGGAGAGTGTAAGAGGAGAATAAGGGGCAGAGCAAACAAAGGTTAGTGGGGTGGGTCCCCCATACAAAAAAAATATTAAATGATTTTATTTTTTTAGTTTTTAATATTTAATTATTTTTTTTAAGTCACGTCACTATTTAACGGAACAATTAACAGAACAACTAACAGACGATATGAAATTGTAACAAATTTGTAGATGAGGTATGACATTGAAATTTTTTTAAAGATGAGGTATGAAAATGTGACTAATCCAATAGTTGAGGTAGTTTTATATAATTTACCCATTAAACAAATTAACAAACTGAAAACCCACAAAAAAAAAAAAACAACTGACCTTAAAACAAAGAACAAACAAACAGAACAAAAAGAGGAATCCCCAAAATGAGAGAAAATGAAACAAATAAGGGAGTAAACAGAGAGATGAATCCCCTAAAACCTGACCTAACGTACTAAAAAATTTGAAAATCTAAGCTAACAGTAAAGAATCCAATTAAAAAAACAAACTTATCTTTGGAAATCCAAGCATGCAACACAAGATCCGACACACACCACCCTCAGTTGCCTCTGTTCATGACCCATACCTCTCTCCCTGAAATCTTGACGACCCATATGGTTTTCTCTGACCATCCCCACTCTCTCCCTCTCTCTCTCAACCTCCATCCCCCAAACCCTCATTGAATGACAACAAACGCAAACCTACCAGCTACCCCCTAATTCGCTCAAAACCGAGAGGACAAAATTACCTTTCCTAATACATCATCCCCACCATCGGGTTGTAATCTTCGATGGGCAGAACTGTAATTAAATCATTGAGAACCTGACTGAGGGTCAGGCATCTTACCAAAAACCAACAGCAGGCTATTGAAGAGAAAAAGGAGCCCAAACCCCAGCCCAACACATATTTAGTGGCAGCATTGTATAAATAAAGCAAAATCAAAGGGCAAAATTTTGATTGTAGCAAAGGGCAAAATTTTGATTGTAGCTAAGCTACAATCAAATTACTCCTCAACTTTAGAATAGATAATAAGGGGGTTTTGAACTTTAGATGCAGTCGTGAAGTAGTAGGCCGCTCTAGTCATTTTGAACTTGGGTGCAGCGAGAGGAGTATATTGCTCTAGCTAAGACTTAGTAAACTAAACAAGATATCGATCATGTGGTTTTCCAGATTGTCATGGCATTCATCTGCAGTTTGAATCCATAACCAAGTAGTTTTCAGGTTTCAACTAGCATTATAAATTGAAGGGAGATGTTAAAAAGTCGTTGCAGTCTCTTATATTGAAATTGTTTAATCTTGCGTAGCGAATTGATAATAATAGCTTTGTAACCAACTTAAACTATGAATATTTTGTATTCCTTGTTTTCTTTTTGGGAAAAAATAATATGATTTTTTTTTTAACAAACAATATGATAATTTACTCTAAATTATAGCGAGTGGAGAAAGTTTGAGCTCTAGAAGCAGTAAGTTAAAGAAGAGAAAAACATCATCCAATAAGGCAATCCATTGCTCGTTTGTATATATAAGAGCTCAAGCACTAAACAGTTAGTACTAATATATTAATTCAATTGACATTTAACATAATAAGAATAGTTTGTCACAGGGGAGGACTTCCCCTCGGAAAGAGACCCTCTTAAGATCTCTCCTTCCAAAGCCCAATGATCAAGTGATCCGGGCATTTGAAATTTGATCAAACGACTAATAATTATTATAATTTTTAAAAGTTTTTACTAACTTATCTGTTTTTAACTGTTGGATCAAATTTCAAAGGCCTGGATCACTTGATCCTTGGGCTTTAGAGGGTGAGATCCGGAGAGGATCTCTTTCCCTTCCCCTTTAATCCTACGATCTTCAGTCCTAGTACTTCTTTCCTTTATAGCCAAGACTTGGGCCTTTTTAGACCTTTTTTTTAAGGGACCAGTTAGTGGCTTTTCCACGACAGTTCACCTTTTTAGGGGTTAAAAAGATTCATAGAGGCATTTTAGCCTCTTACTGACCACCATCATGCAATTCACCAACCCCAAATAAGGATGGACAAAATACCCGTGGTTACGCGCCTATTCAAAATTAATGGTTACGGTTATGGGTAACCGTTTAAATAACGGGTAATGTTAGGAAAACCAAAATTTAAACAAAATTTGCAAACCAAATTATGTGTCACCAATAGGAAATAACCACGTTAATCAACAGTTAAGTAATAATTCAATCAGCAACAACCACATCATTTGATAACCAGCCAACTTTAAATATATAGTTGCTAATCCAGATTTTTATGAAGAAAAAAAAACAAGACATATAGAGATTGATTGTTAGTTTATTACAAATAGTGAAAAATTGTTGGATCGTTACAAAGTACGTTGCTCAACCAAACCAAATAGTAGATATGTTCACAAAAGCATAGGGAAAGGATTCTTTCTCAGTTATATTATACAAATTGGGAGTTTTTGATATTCACTCTCCAACTAGAAAGAAAGTATTGAGACGTCAATTACATTCTATCCAATTAAGAGTCAGATTGTCATCCAAATTCTGACTAATTAATTTTATTTTAAATTTCTTTACATACCAACCATGTGTGGATTTTTCCAATTACTATTATTATCAGCCATTAATTGTGAAATGCATGGCTGTAGAATCTCATGGATTTTTTCTCTTTATTTATAAGTGAAGATTTTAAGTTCGAATCTTATAGATGATAAATTCGATACCAAATTAAGTTGTATATTGTGACTAATATAAAATATATCGTTGTACTTAAAACAAAACAAAATTATGGAACCTATGGTGATCGTCTTGCCTTGTCTTGGTGCGGTGTGGGATGTCGAAAACACAATCAACAAAAGTAGTGGTGGTACCGAAACAGGGAGAGACTCCTTTGGGTTTTTGCTCCCTTTTTCCATTCTTTTGGGTCCAATTGTGCACTTTACGTTCATGAAATTCCGACCACAAACTAAATTAACGAAATATCAAGCCCAATAAAATAAAGACTTAAGAGGAAATAAGTCTATCACTCATTGCCCTGGCGAGTTAGCTACTGCAATGCTACTGTAGGAGCCATATTACTAGTTGATGCCAAAATCTTGGACTTTGGTTGTTGGATGCGACTGCATTCAATCTCTAATGTCCCAATGAAGCTAAGTTGTCGCAAAAGTTTGATGATGGAGGTTTAGCTTGTTCATACTCGTCATGTTTTGTGTGAAACCAAAATGGCGAGTACAAAAAAGCCGAACATCTATCTTCAAATTTTTAATATCTTCAAGCAGTGAAAAAATACGTTAAAGTTATTGTTTATCTGTATTGAAGTATGTTGATTAAAACCTGAAAATGTTTGTAAGACCTAAGTGTTTAGCTCAAACTAATCCAAATTTCAATCCTAAATTAAACTTTTGCTCCAATCACATAAGTAATAGCAAAATGGATTCTTGCTATTCCATTTGTATCGAATAATAAAACCAACTGCAGCTTGTTGTCCTAAGTTATGAACACAACCATCAAAATTTAATGGAAGCAACTACAAGTAATTCTTTAAGGACTTGCTACAGTACTTACAAATACCTAGTGCCATTACAATCAGGATCATAAATGCTCATCTAATATCATTGCAGCATATCTAAGATCTGATAAAATTTAAGAAATAAAACAGAGATTATCTTATGGATGAGGGAGAATATTGACAAGTGTCATTTGCATGGCCTTAGACTAATATTTCAAAATCCATCTTTTCCTACACACACTCTCTCTTCCTTCCTTCATCTCCCTCCCTCCAAACCAATCTCTGTCTCTGTCTTCATACAGACCTTCTCTTCAAAACCCCTGTTTCCATCTCTCTCCCTCTCATCTTTTGTCTCTGCTACAACGCCAACACCATGGCAGTAGCTGAGCTATCAACACCTTCATACACCAAGACCCACCTTTTTCAATTATCCCAGCTCTCATCCTTATCGACCCATCTCCACTCTCACCGCCGTGTGGCTTTTCGGCCGCTCCCTCACACTCGAAATGCCAGAATCTGTTGCTCTGTTGCACCCAAGTAAGCTTTAATATCTTTACATATCTCCACCATTTCTTTCTCTCTCTTTTTTTTTTTTTTTTTTTTTTTTTGGGTTTTTGTTTTGTTTTGTGGTAGTAGTAATTTTCTTGTTCCTGATGTCAGTCAAGTTCAAGCTCCAGCAGCTCCAGCGCAAACCGAAGACCCGAAGAACAAGCCTGAGTGCTTCGGCGTGTTCTGCCTCACCTATGATCTCCAAGCTGTAACCTTTCTTCGTTTTGTTATCTGGGTTTATGTTGATTCTGTGAATTTTGGTATAGATTTTTGGGGTTTTCACCTTATCTTAGTAGTAAAAACTCTGGAGCTCCAGCGTGTCATATAAGTGTACATATGGTGTCTGTCAATTTGTCTAGTCGAGCTGTTCTAGTATATTTAGACTTACATTACCAAAAGTAGAATCAGACAAAAACCGTCGATTTTGGGGTTTTTTTCTTTCTGTTTGTTGCTGGTTAATGACTTTCTGCTGAAGATGCATGCAGTTTTAAAGTATCCAAACTGGGCTTGTAATGTGTGTTTGTGTGTGTGTGTGTGTGTCTGAGAGAGAGAGAGAGAGAGAGAGAGAGAGCATATCTGATTATTGACTTGCAGTTGCTTTTCCTTTGCAATGAATTAAGTAGTGTATCTAATAAGGTCCAAAATTCACAGGAAGAAGAGACAAAATCATGGAAGAAATTAATTAATATTGCAGTCTCAGGTGCAGCTGGGATGATATCTAATCATCTGCTCTTTAAAGTAAGTCTTTCTTGCATCCTAAACCTCTTGCACTTTGTCCTTTTCATTAATGGTGGCTTTGCTTTTTGGAACTTATTGACTAGCAATTACCTATTTAACTTGCAGTAAATCCTTGTTAAATTGTTAATACCTTCAAAACATTATATTTCTAAACCTGTAATTAGGAGTTCTATTCCCATTGGGTCCTGCAACCATCCGGTCCCTCCCTACATGTTATCTTAGTCTTAGACTACGGTCTTTCCGATAACCTGCAACAATCTAAACCATATCAGGTTAAACTGGAAAATAGAGCTTGTAGAGATATGTAGTACTCTCAACTGACAAGAAACTGGATTATGCTTTAATTTGCTGAGCATGTAGAAATTCATGCAATTGTGGGATGGAGCCTTTACTTGATATGCTAGTGTGCGAGCATAAAAGAGAGAAAAAAATATTCTAACCCTCTCTAGTTTTTAGAATATAATCGCATTTTTGTTCTTAGAATTTAACAAGTTCAACATTTTCAACATGCTTTCTTATTGTCCAGCTTGCGTCAGGCGAGGTTTTTGGGCCAGACCAACCTATTGCGTTGAAACTATTGGGATCTGAAAGGTCCTTCCAAGCTCTTGAAGGTATGGTTCTGACATAGACATAATTTAGTGTAGATTTACATACGTGTGCAGTCCAAAGCAGCATTTTCATATCGCCTACACAAATAATATAATTAGTAAACAAATCTTGTGACCCTTAATGTTGATTTCTACCAATAATAGTTATTTATTCATACAAATCAAGTAATTGCATTGTTGACTTCCTAATTATCTGATAACTAGAAGGATTAAGTTAAGTTGGTCCGCAAAATCTGAGATTCCCCGGTTTCTAATAGTTGTTGAGAATGAATCCAACATTGATGAGAGGAGGGACCTTGTATGTGCTTATAAGTGGTTGGGCTACTCCCCATATTGCCAATTGGTTTTATGGTGGAACCTCAACGGCCACACGCGCTTCACTTCACCCGAGTTGTGTTGCCCACGTGTTAGGCTTGAAAATTTGCCACATGTGAGGGGGCTTGTTGAGAATGAATCCCACATTGATGAGAGGATGGACATTGCATGTGCTTACAAGTGGTTGGGCTACTCCCCATATTGCCAGTTGGTTTTATGGTGGAACCTCAACTTTCTTCAATAATACTGTTCCCTATGTTTAAAAGAGGAACTGAACAATGTCAATTGTCGTCTGTCTCACTTGAGAAAGAAGGTTCAGCATCCAGATATCGTGGACTGGATACATTGCAGATTATATTTTATCACCGTCAGATACAATGTTACCTCTAGTTGAGGGTGTGCCTGTGTTTCTGCAGTGTTATTAGGGCAGTTAGTTAGAATTACAGTGGAAGAAAAGTTAATTAGTGAATGATGTATCTATTGAAGTTGCACAAGTTTTGAATTCAATAACTTAATGTGTTCACCATAAGTGAACCCTTCTAAGTTATGTATATATGCGGCTAATTAAGAGAACAGTTTCTGCGTTCAGGAGTGGCTATGGAATTGGAGGATTCTCTATTTCCGTTGTTGCGGGAGGTGAGCATTGGCATTGATCCATATGAGGTTTTCCAAGATGTAGAATGGGCTCTTTTAATAGGAGCAAAGCCTCGAGGTCCTGGAATGGAAAGAGCAGACTTGTTGGATCTGAATGGGCAGATTTTTGTTGAGCAGGTTCTGTTAGATTTTATATGATATCACTATTACACATTGGCTCGATAGTTTCTGATCATATATGTTTTGTTTCAAAAATCAGGGAAAAGCACTTAATGCTGTTGCATCACATAATGTCAAAGTGATAGTAGTTGGAAACCCTTGTAACACAAAGTAAGTAATTGTCTTCCTCGTCTTTTCAATTTTTTGGGATGGAAGGATGCACAGGTAGCGGAGATATGCCCGTCACTTTTACTTATATTCATCCTGATGCAGTGCACTCATCTGTTTGAAAAATGCTCCAAACATACCTGCAAAGAATTTTCATGCTTTAACACGGCTGGATGAAAATAGAGCAAAATGTCAGGTACATATGCCTCGCAAACATTGGTAGAATAGACAATAATCAATACTAGGTCATGACCAAAAAGAATAATCATTTAACATAGTTGGCTTATGATTTATTCAGCTAGCCCTCAAAGCAGGTGTCTTCTATGATAAAGTGTCAAACGTGACCATCTGGGGAAACCACTCAACCACCCAGGTCATTTAATCATTCTCTTTTAAAACCATGGATTATTTTTGCTAGCTTCTCGTTTTGAAGAAGAATTGCGTAATTCTTATCAGGTGCCAGACTTCTTAAATGCTAGAATTAATGGCTTGCCGGTCAAAGAGGTCATCAAGGATCACAAATGGTTAGAGGAAGAATTTACCGAACTTATCCAGAAGGTAAGACGGAACGTATATTTCCATAATTCAACATTGTCTAAAACCATATCTGCTCCTCATTTTTAATTACTGAAGATGTATCCAATTCGCAGAGAGGAGGTGTGCTCATCAAGAAATGGGGAAGATCGTCAGCTGCATCAACTGCCATGTCAATTGCAGATGCCATAAAGTCTTTGATTACTCCTACCCCAGAGGGCGATTGGTTTTCATCTGCAGTAAGTTCGTGTTTGTTTGATATGATGCACATTTTGTAAGCCTATATATACTGTCTGTCTTCTGTAACAACCAGACCATCTTGAGAAGCCATATGATCAGAACTCCATTAGTTTCGATGGAGAAACATTTGACTTTGATGCCCAACTCTCTGAGAAACAAAAGGAATTAAGTTGAATTTTCTTTGTGTTTCCTTCTCTAGTTTTTGGTTGCCACTGAAAGTCCCTGCATATTATTGCATGCATATAAAACATCCCAGATCGATATTAAACTGAACATCATAAATGCGAATGTTAAGTTATTCTGCGTTGATTCAATGCCACAAAAGTTAATGATGAGTTGATCTTCGTCCCTTGTGTACCATCCCACTGCAGGTTTACACAAATGGAAATCCCTATGGTATAGCAGAGGATTTAGTATTCAGTATGCCATGCAGATCTAAAGTAAGTCTATCCAAGAGATTGTCCTTTCCTTGTGTTTATGTTTGTGATATAGGCACTTCTAATAAGTTATTCACAACGCCCAGGGAGACGGCGACTATGAACTTGTAAAGGACATACAATTTGATGACTATCTTCGCAAGCGAATAAAAAAGGTATGCATTGTTGACTGGATTGAAGTACTATACAGGCGCGAAAATTAGTAGTGTATTGTAGGCATTGACTGAACTAGTGTGGACTTTGTAGTAGTTTTGGACTAATTGTCTCATTTGACGCGATAATCTTTCAGAGCGAAGCTGAGTTACTAGCTGAGAAAAGATGTGTCGCTCACCTTACTGGGCAGGTACGTTTTTCATTCTTACACTATTGCTACCTGTTGACACCACTCGCGCATCTTAATCTCCATGTTCATTCTTTTCCAGGGTATCGCTGTGTGTGATTTACCCGAGGATACTATGCTTCCTGGAGAGATGTAATCCTCAGCAGACAAGTTCCACGTCTCGAGAACTTTTACGAAGGATACGATACCACATAGAGCACATGAGGCAAATAATGGAGCATCATTTATGTAGTAAGAGCATGAAAATAAACCAGAGGGAGTAATGTAAAAGTCGTTAAATTTTGAGGTTTCTGCTGTGCAGCCTAGATCCTGAACATTTATGTCTAAATTTATATGTGTTTGAGTTGCAAATAACCGTAAATCCTTTGTGATTCTTATCTCCTTGATTAAAAAAAATGTGCATGATCTGTCACATACGAAGTTACACTTCCCTGAAGAAAGTTGAGCTTCCGGCCAGAAATCAGTTGGCAGCAGGAGTTGTTTGACTACTCAAAACAAATGTAAGTTATCTTAAATTTCCGACATGAGATGACACTCCGCATCCTCTCAATAACAACAGATAACAGACGATGTACATGTTTCAACGCTACGGGACAAGTCCTATTTATTTGACTGATACAATATTACCAACCCTGAACGAGTAATTTACTCCTCGTTTGGCACAAGAAAGATTCAACTTCAAATCTGCTCAAGTGGCTCTTGTGTCATTTTCAAGCCGCCCACACGTTTAAAATGCTTAACACATATTATCGGGCTATAGAGATTGTGATTTACACTGATCACGTGCTGTTACTAACCCATGCGTTACAATATAGGCGGGCGACAATAAATATACTAGAGTTGGTAAAACCATGCAAGCATTTCTTCTGAATTTTCAGGTTGACAGTAATGCAAGCAGAACTGTCTTAAAATCGACCCTACATTATACTTTGTCAAGCCTTCAATTACAACGAAATAGTATCGTCGTACCCAGTGCACAAGGCTCCCGCTTTATGCAGGGTCTGAGAGAGGTGAATGTCGACTAGCCTTACCCTCATTTATGGAGAGGCTGCTCCCAAGTACAACGAAATAGTATATAGAACGAAATAATGTACTGAAACAAAAATTCAGTTTTACATTCATTCAGATTCAGTATATAGCTATTCAAAATATCACACACTTTACGCTATCTTAAAACGGTTTGTGTAAATAATTAGTTCTGCAGTCAGTATAACAATTAACTAAAATATCGAGTTTGCAAGAACTAGCATCTTCCCCTAGTCAGCAGGGGAAGTTTACTACAAGATCCTGAGATAGGCTAGAAACCACCATTACTGTCGAAGCATCACCTGGTACAGATGTAGCTTCCGATTTTGAAACTCATAGAAAGAAACAGAACCCAGAGAAACATAAACAAAAACCATCCCCGCATCACCACACATCCCGTCTTTCCAGAGAGTGAGCCACCGACCGGCACCAGATTGCCAGAGTTTCCATCATTCTGCGACAGCTGAACAGAAAACACAAGGTTGACAACCCCATCCTTTCCAAAAGACCAGTCCATCCTGTTGTCACTTGAAGTTATGTCTCTAATTCTAATCATGCCTGCAGTAACATGAACCGAACTGGAAGACGATGCACCAGAATTTAACCTAAGCATTGCCTCTTTAGCAGGGAACTCTGAAGCAAATGCAGGTGGAGCCGGTATGCTGCCCAACATCATGTGACTCGCCTTTTTGATGAAGGGATAGTTACCATCTGCACCACCATAATCGCACACAACCCAGAAGGTGAGGAAAACATGACCAGTGATGGAATACAAAAATTATTAAATATCATGTAAAAAACCTAAACCTCTGGTACTCTTTATAATGATAGGTACACATTACGCGAATCTACATCCTAAGTCACCAAACAGGGTATGATAGTGCCTATAATAGCTGAAATTAAGATACTATACCTGATTCAAACTTGGACTCGGGCATTTTCTTTGACAAAGATGCATCATCAGTATCCTCTGGTTGTACAAGATGTTCGCCTCCCATTGGTTGTGGCTCTGGTTGTACAAGATGATCACCTCCCATTGGTTGTGGTTCAGTTTCACCATTCAGAAGCTGATATACACCAGTTTATTAATTGAAAGATGCTACTTAAAATCCTGAAATACAAAAGGAAAATGAAACTTGAGAACGTACCTTCTGGTTAGATGGAGCTTGGTCAGGAACATTGCCACAAGAATCAAAATCAATATACTGAGAGATGTCATCATTGGCATCAAAGTATGTAAGGTACTCATCAAGCATGTCAAAGCCTGCAGTTGACTCGACTGGATTTGAAAGATCATTAGTTTCAAGGAACAGCCCATCACCAAATGGCTTATTATTCTCAGTAGCATCCAAATATGGTTCATTAAGTGAATAATTGACAACAGATGGATTTGCACCATCGCTTGGTTCAAGAAAGCATTCATCTTTGACTGGTTTTGCATCAGCCTCATAGTGCTCTGTCAAGTCAACAAACTTCAGGTCCTCAGGATTTTGTGAGGTTATATATTCATTTTTGACTGGGTTCCCAACCGTCTCATAATGCTCTGGGTATCCAAAGAACATCTGGTGTTCGCAATATTCAGAAGTTTCCCCAGTGCCTATCACAGCCTTTGTATCATCTTCAACAAAGTCCCCATAATGCTCAATGTAGTTGCTCGTCTCCCCATGATAGAAGTTCAAAGGAGGTGGTGCACTTTCAGACGGAATTCCTGTGTCAAGATTCTGGGAAAAGAAAGTATTTATAAATGTACGGTATCCAAGCATGGCTTAGCTGAATCATGTGAAAAACTCTAGAAGAAACTAATGGAAAATGAAGGCCCCTGGCATCTCATATATGTGTTTTATATACCTAAACAATCTACATACTATTATTTATGAAAACCCTCTTGTCAACCAAAGAGGATTAATGTCAATTATGCCCTCTTTAAATTAAATAGTTGAAAATACATATAAATATAGTAATTTAGTCACACCAATATCTTATTTCTACCACACCTTAACTCTCTCTGTCCCAACCTTAATTTTCTATCTACACTAGTTTTTCCCAGTTAAAATGATTAAGATGCCCTAGACCGGATGGAAAAAGGATGCAGATGTTTTCCATTTCTAATTTCCAGTCACATAAAGGTTCAGATGTGAAGATTAATCATCAAAATATCATGCATTATTCTAGAACACAATGATCTTTTCAATCTCTCTACTACGGCGTCATCTCAGTTCCTTCAATTCAAAGACGCTTCTCGTGGCACCAGCAAGGACCAAGAATATTTCGAAATCCATCAAATTTGAATTTGTCCCTGTTAGCAGATCAGATCTAAGAACTAGTTAACAGCATCACGTGACAAGAACAAACAAAAAATTACAGCGTAGTTTGAACTTACAATACAAGGGACATCTAATAGGTTAGAAGACGTAGCATCAAAGATCAACAAATCCCAAGGTCAGATTGCAACAATTCGGGGTTGAGGTAAAGGGTGACCGAGCTTCAGAGAGAGATGACACAAAGAAATATCATCCAGATCCATTTTAAAAGGACACCAAGATTCTACCAACTTTCAGAAAATTGTACACTGTAAAAAATTACCAACACATTAAGGTATGGCGATTATAAATGATATCAATGCAACATTAACTTGTAATACTGCATTTATAGTTCATTTGATGGAAAGTTCTGCTGAGTGAACATTATTTGTTTCAGTATTCTAGGTTATAGACAGTTACACACCTTGATGATGCTCTTTGAATAATAATTGAAACGTAAAAGAATTCCTGATATACGTACTTAAAATGCAATAAATGGTTTCACAAATACATAAGCCAAGTTCAACAGAGAAAAAACTGTTTGTAACAGAAAAGGCAGAAAACTGCACTCCAGATAAATTTAGGGAGCTATTATTAACACTCCAAAATTCTCATTCTACACTCCTCGCAAGTGTATTTTTCCTTCTAATTATAGAAAGTTCGGAGTGCAAAATGAGATTTTTGGAGTGCCAATAACAATTCCCTAAATTTAAGAATGCAAATAAAATTTTAAGAAACAATGCAAAGCTGGCAAAACTTAGATAAAGTCTTGCCAAGTTTCAACCTTAAGGGGGAGACCATTTTCATAAGTTAAAAGGAAAAGATGACCAAAATTCTGATAAGAAAAAAAAGATTGGAAAGCTAATGAGGTAGTTGTTCTGAACACACTGCTATCCAGAACAAAAGAAGAGCAGCATAATAAGCAAAAATAAGAACAAAAATCTTATTAGAGTAACTATAGAGGCTGTATTAGTTATTCTTCTGCATAAGTGGTGAAATTTAATTAAGTGATCCCGGAGTACAAAGCTTCAAATATTTTTAACAGGAACCGATGTATAAATTCAAATAAGATACTCCCATATTAGTAACATACACAAATACTCTTTGTTGTTTCCTTTCATCTCATTATAATCATTTCTTTATGAAATAAAGAAATAAAACCACTAAGCACCTAAAGCAAGGGCATAACAAGTCCATTTGCTGACATTGGGTTACTTATATATGTACAGCTACAACAGAGACCTTTAAGCATAGTCATGTATAGGATAGCCAAATCAAGTTAAAATCATTTGCCCGACCAACTAGTAGCCCTCAGCCATACTTAAACTCCAATAGCTGGACACAGTCAAAATATCTACTGTGACTTATCATAGCACATCCGGGGGTTTCCCACAACTGGGGGAGTTATCTTTAAATTCAATAAATTCCGGCCAAATCTACCCATCCCCGTTTCAGACAATTTGAATTCACCTACAAAACATGAAATGAAAAGGCTGAATGAATAAAGAACCTGATCAAGGTCAAATGCTTCAACATAAGCCCCATTGTTGAAATCATTTGCTTCATTATCTGGCTCTTCGCTGACTGCCACTACATTAGCAGCCGCCTCTTCACCAGGTACACAAGTCACGTCATCATCGTCCCATTCCTCCTCCATAACCGGGGCGCCGTACTTCTCCCCATTCTTCGGTCCCGTGCCACTCTTCTGGAATATCCTACAAAGCACATACGGATCCTTCTGTACCCATGCACCACGACAAAACCCAACAATCAATCCCAATTCCATAACATCATAAAATGCCAACAGAACAATAGCAACGTCAACAAAAATCCAACCTGTTGAATTCCAGCTTTTTCCAACTCCTCGTTGGAAAGGCGATACTCATGCATAACCCAATTGGTTCTTGCACCGGTGGGGGCTCGCCCGCTATGGAAAACCAGCGTCTTCTTCATCCCAACATCCCGGGAATTATGTTTAATAGGGCGATCCTTACCCGTAGTCTTCCAGTACCCTTTTTCAGTAGCCCGATTCGTCCTCGACGAATTTCCATACTTCTTATCCAGAAAACTGAAAAAGTACCACTCCAAGTCCCTAGTCTTCAGCTTCGACTTGCCTAATAAATCAGAAAACGAAAACCCAACAAAAATAAAACACAAATATAACCACAATCAACCAAATGATACACGTATAAATATATATATATATATATAAATATATATATATATATACACACATTTTTTTTATTTTTTATTTTGCAAACATGAGAAAGGATTAGGATTTTTTACCAGGGAGGTCCCAAGGCTCAGTCTTGTAGATATCGATGACCGATATGGGGTCAAATCGGAAGTTCTTGCCGGAGACCTTACGCTTCAGATAGTACCAGACTAGTTCTTCATCGGTTGGGTGGAATCGGAACCCAGGAGCGAGTGAATTCTCTTTGCCGCGGGCCATGAATTAATCAAATCCAGCAAAAACAAAATGAAAATATTTCCTGAGGGCTTCGAAACAGAAAGGAATCGAAACAACCGAGAATTGGGAATCGGGAATCGGGAATTGGAAATTAGGTTAGATTAGGGTTTGGATTGTAACGAAATCGGAGAGTTGATAGTTGGGGAAGAAGACGGAGAGCTGAAGAGTCACCGGGTAGGTGTGCGAAGTACGATCCAGTTCGTCGTTTTGGTAAATATATAGCGTCGTTAGTCTCACGGAAAACTTCTCTGCGAAGAAATGGAGGTGATTTTCTTGGGTCACAGGCGGGTAATTCTATGCCGCTTTTTTTTTTTTTTTTTTTTTTTACAGACAAGATTTTTCAGTGTAACTGACACGAGGAAGGTATACTACATTCCACTATACAAATAATGGAATATATATGTTAAAAAGTTAATAATTTAAAAAATAAAATTTTTCATCACTTCTATTAAAACATGTGGTGTACCATTTATATTCCCAGCACAATTATAAAAATTTCTCCATCGGAAGGTCGCTCATGTGGCGGCGCTGCACAGGTGCCACGTGGCGTGGGTTTTGATTCCGTATGGGCTTATGTAATTGCATCCGTCAAGTTACTTGGAACGACACCAGATTGACGTATGAAGAAATATAAATATGAGATCAATCTATACGAAATATTAATTGAAAATTCTTTAATTCTCCATTCACCTCTTAAAGAATTTTCTTTTATTTTGGTCCCTAAATTGAATTTAGAGGCTCAAATTGTTGATGAAAGTCTAATTATAATACATATAGATTAGGGTGCTGGTTATATATATATATATAGATATAGAGAAAGTAAAGAGTAGTAATTATTGTAACTAGATGGTTATTGAAAACTTGTAGCACGTAAATAGAGAAGAAATTATGATATTGAATGTAAATTTTTTAATAAGTTTGAATAGATCATTTAGTATTACGGTTTAATGGTCTTTTTTTTTTACTTGTAAGTAAATGTCTTGGTTCAATTCTTGTCAAAGACAAATTTAAACCACATTATTGTTAATCCACTGTAAGGCTGTAGACATCGAAATTTCGGTAAATAAATGTTGACCGATAAATTAAAGTGTCAACGCTCATGTATTACATAAATTTTACACGTAGCGTGCGACTCAACGAAAATTGAAATAAGTTGGAAAAGTCATCAAATAGGACACGTGTCAACACCTGGCAGAAACGACTTATTTCATCTGGAATATTATATTCAAAATTAGGCCTTGGAAAATTCTATAAATAGAAGCCAATTCATTCATTTGGAAAATCAATTCATATTACACCTTGAAGCTCTGAAGCTCTGAAACTCCGAAGCTCTCAAGCATCCAGGTTCCCGAAGAATCAAGAAAGCCTTCTTCGTTCTTCGTTCATCGTTCTTTCAAGATCAAGCCCCGACGGCCCTTGAAGAAAGTGTTCTTCGTTCATCGTTCACCAAGATCAAGCCCCAACGGCCCTTTGGATCAACGAACGTCGACAAATCCATACATCCAACCGTTCTTCAAGATCAAGCCCAAAAGCCCTTGAAGACCCGTTCATCACTGTTCTTCAAGATCAAGCCCAAAAGCCCTTGGAGATCCGTTCATCACTGTTCTTCAAAGATCAAGCCCAAAAGCCCATTTGAAGATCCGCTCAAAGCCACCTTCAAGATCAAGTCCACGGCCCTTGAAGAACGTTCATCCTTAGATCAAGCCCAACGGCCCTTTGGATCAATCACACATCCGCAAATACACCTTACGGAGATCGAATCAGAGGATCAAAATAGAGAGAGATTGTAACTCAAAACCATCAAATACAAATATTTGTTTGTGCACGTTGTTCTTGTCTCTTTCGTTTCAGGAATTTTCTGTGTTTACAAATTGGCACGCCCGGTGGGACAATCTCTGCCTCTCATCTCTTTCCCCGTTCAAAAAAAATTTTAAGCACACTTCCAAAAGTAATGGCATCAAGGAAGGCTCAAACTGTTCCCGCAACTGGCGCAAAGAACAAGAGCGTCCTCGTCACAAGTGGTGTCACTTTGGGCATCACGACTCGAAGCAAGACAAAAGCTACTTCTGCCGCCTCCTTCACCTCTGCATCCACTCTACCAAGGGAACAAGAGCACCCAAGGTACGAGCCTGTAATCACCTTAGCCTCACTAAGGGCACCAGGGGAGGAGAGTCCAAGGAAGTACTCCGAATCCATGCTCTCTGATGCCGACTCAAGCGGCAGTTCAACCATGCAAGTTATGACCACTGGAGCAACTTCAATCGATGAGCAGCTGGCTCAGATGAATGAAGCAATCGCAAGGCTAACCCGAACTGTGGAAGAAAAAGACTTGCAAATTGCAGCACTCGTCAACCGACTAGAGGTGCAGGACGGCGAGAAACCCAACCCGAAGATTGATCCTCTAAAGAAAGAAGACGACGAAGAAGAAGAGCCTCAGGTGGAGAAAAAACGACGTGAAGCCGGAGCCAGACCAAGCAGCGGCACTCATGGGATCTCTTTCTATCCAGCAGCTGCAGGAGATGATCACCAACACCATCAAGGCACAGTACGAAGGGAGCTCACATACCTCTTTGTTCTACTCAAAGCCCTACTCTAAGAAGATTGATGCCCTGAAGATGCCAAGGGGTTATCAACCACCAAAGTTCATGCAGTTTGATGGAAAAGGAAACCCGAAGCAGCACGTTGCCCACTTTGTTGAAACTTGCAACAACGCAGGGACCGAAGGGGACTACCTTGCCAAGCAGTTTGTGCGCTCGCTGAAAGGAAACGCCTTTGAGTGGTACACGGACCTAGAGCCTGAGTCCATCAAAAGCTGGGAGCAATTAGAGCGGGAATTCCTCAACCGCTTCTATAGCACCCGCCGTACTGTGAGCATGCTAGAGCTAACGAGCACGAAGCAATGGAGGGAGGAACCAGTCATGGACTACATCAACCGATGGCGTAATCTAAGCCTCGATTGTAAAGACAGGCTCTCCGAGATTTCTTCAATTGAGATGTGCATCCAAGGCATGCAATGGGGTTTACAATACATCCTTCAAGGTATCAAACCACAGACTTTTGAAGAATTAGCCACCCGTGCCCACGATATGGAACTGAGCATCGCCCACCATGGAAAGAAGGAGCCAATCACCGATTTCAAAAGGGATAAGGTGTTTACTTCAAGAGCAGACAATCATGGGAAAAAGCCCGCCAAGGAAGCTTTTACCACCAATACCACCCCTATCAAGACCTCGTCCACACCCGTCAAAATTTCCTTCAATAACAAAGCAAAGGAGATAAAAAAAAGCGAGCCTTCCCGCACCCAAGATAGGTACGAAAACACCTTGAGGGAATTGGAGCAGAAGGTATACCCTTTTCCAGACTCCGACATGGACGCAATGCTGGACGACCTGCTGGAGAAGAAAGTAATTGAATTGCCTGAATGCAAACGCCCCGAAGAGATGAATCGCACCAATGATCCTAAGTACTGCAAGTATCATCGTATCGTGGGGCATCATGTGGGCAAGTGTTTTATCCTAAAAGAACTCATCATGAAGTTGGCACAGCAAGGGCAGATTGAGCTCGACCTAGAAGACAAAGCCACAACGCACACCACTACGATCGTGTTCGGATCCTTTAATCCCGTGCCTCTTCAAGAAATGCCCGACCATTCCTATCAATGCACAAGCTACACGGCACCTTCTGCACAACCATCATTGGGGGCAGACAACGGCGATGCACCTATCGATGATGAAGAATGGTGGACATTGGTGACCTATAAGAAAACGAGAAAGCCAAGACCACAAGCTATAAGGCCAAAGGGGGAGCAAGCGAGAAAGCACCGCCGCCGCAAAATTAGAAAGCCTAAAAAAAGCATAAGAGCTGCTAAGCCAACATATGTTGGGGAACCTATGGAGCAAGAGCCACGTATTCCCGTCTCCTTGCATGAATACTTCCCAGAGGACTTCTTCCAACAGTGCACTATCACTGCATGTTACATGGTCGAAGTAGAAATAGAAGAACCCGCAGAAGGCAAAGCTGTCACCACTGAGGGGGAAAAGACTCTTACAACTAAAGAAGGTCTGCCAACACACCTTAGCATCGAGGAAGCGCTCCGGTTGCCAAAGAAGATGCGAAGAGCACTGGCAGCAATCTTGGCGAGTCCTGACGACCATGAAGGGCAAGAAAACAAGAACGAAGGCTTAAACTTCGACCATATGAATGTGTCACATGCTGTGCCGCCGAGGACGTAATCCACTTCACCGATGAAGACTTGCTGCTAGGATCCAAGCCTCACAACCGACCTCTCTTCGTCTCTGGGTACGTAAGGGAGCACAAAGTCAGCCGCATGCTTGTGGATGGCGGATCAGCCATAAATATCATGCCAAAGTCAACAATGATCGCAATCGGCATCAAGGTGGATGAACTATCCCTAAGCCGTCTACTAATCCAAGGTTTTAACCAAGGAGGACAAAGAGCGATGGGCATGATCCGAGTGGAGATGACCATTGGTGAACTCAAGTCAAGCACAATATTCCACGTGATTGATGCAAGACCTTCCTACGGTTTGCTCTTAGGAAGGCCTTGGATCCATGTGAGTGGAGTAGTACCATCCACCATTCACCAGTGCTTAAAATTTTACCGAGAAGGAGTGAAAGTGATCTATGGCGACACCAAGCCATTCACCGAAGCCGAATCACATTTCGCAGACGCCAAGTTCTACATGGATGAAGACATGGTGCCCGAAACTCTTCCAAAAGAGATCAAATCCATAGGTAAAGAAACACCTAAAAAGCAGGAGTGGCAAGTTGTGCCCAAGAAGCAAGAAGAAGAAGCTATGCCATCTTCAAGCAAAAACAACGATGAGCTTGCTAAACCTGCAACAACCAGAGGGAGTAGGACGCCCTCAAATGGACCAAACATACCCGTTTTCCGATACATCCCGACGTCGAGAAGAAAGAATGGTCAATCCCCATTCGAAACTGCAGCAAGCAAAGCCGATGCACAGCGGCACATGGATAACGTAAAGTTTCTTAAAACAAATGCAGTTTTACCTCTGACACAGTTAGACGACACTAAGGTTGCAAGACCATCACAAGGCTTCACAAAAGGCCTGCCAAAGGGGGTAGAACCAAGCTTTCTCCCAACCAAGAGGACCGAAGAAGGTTTTGATCCAAACGCCTACAAACTTATGTCGAGAGCTGGGTACAACTTCACATCCTCTGCAAATTT